CTAAAGGGAAATTGCACTGTAATCCATGATGTCTTTTAGGGACAATACGATTTTATTCAGATAACATTTGGTGTCAGGAATTAACCCATATTCCTAGTGATTTTTGACAAAAATATTCGCTGAAATATTGAACCGTAAACTGGCCTGAACACAAAGCAAGTAGGCAAAATATAATAACCCAACAAACAAAAAAGTGATCAATAATGCAATTCTATATGTGTCAGAAAAGTAACAAAAACACTCTTCGAAGAAGAAAACAAAGAAAAACAAAAATATATGAAAGACGGAGAAAACTCTCGTCACTAATGAACACATATGGTTAAAATAACTTCCTTTAAATAAACTTTTCATCTTCGTTTGTAGTAAAGATTGTGCTCTTCCATTGCGATAGAACAGCAAGTTTCGAGGCTTTGCATTATGAAAACCCTAAGTGTTTGCGACAGTGTGTATCGGATAGATCATGTGTAGGGAAATATTTTTAGATAATTCAATATCAATGTAGTTGGTCAGTTTTGAACAAACATGTCACTATACACACTTGCCTCTGAAGACGATCCAGATTCATTAGTATGGAGGGTTGTATGTTGTAACAAAGAGCGATGAATTCCAGTTTCATCATGGCAGCTGGTGATATCAATTCAATGTTATTTTATTCTCCGATTGATTCAATGATGTTGTAACTAATATACTGATTTTCCATAGTTTTCATGTTCATTTTTTCCAAATAGTAGTTAAAATAGTGCTTAAAAAGCATATTGTGTTATTACACCGGATACATACGTAGTATGACAGTAGTAATAGTGACACATTTCTATTAAAAGGCGAATGGCCCACATACAAAACATACAATAGATGAATAGCAAATATACTCATACTCACACAACGAATAGTCATTTAAAACATTTTCCTTTTTTTTCCCAGTAAATCATTTTCCAAGGAATATTTTGTATTACACCAGAGTCTGAAATATGTCATACACAGGTAACATCGACGGATAGGATACTGTTTGCTGTTTACGATAGGCAATGTATTATTAAATCACCAACAGCAAGGAAAGTTTGCTTATTGGAAATATTATATAGAGCATTGAAACGTACACCATGCATGTAATTTTTTAAATACATTGTGTAAACAAATAGCTTATAAATTTTGACAAATGTACGCAACATTTAGACAGAGAAACACACCATAGTCTTCCCAACACTCGTAATTCATCAGTAAAAGGGGTGTGTTGATATTTAAATGCGAGCTTTCCAGAAGCTGGTATTTAAAAAGACACATGCAGGTGATGGTATTATTGCAACCTTATTTCATTCTATGATTGACTGAAAAAATCGACAATTCTTTCAGAGAATTATATATGTATATCACCATTCCATTATTGAAATTTGGATACCTCATTACATCTAAAATAACTTTACATGCTATCGTTCTTTCTTTTAGAGCTTAATATTCCTGATAACTGATCAAATAATATGATGATTAAACAAGTAATTTGATAGCAACAAATAATTGTATTCGTTACGTTTGATGACATGCTGTCGAATATGTTATGTGTGCACGAGTTCAAAGATATATAAAAGAACAAGACAATAAAAAGAAGGGTTAAACATACTTCAGATAATGTAATGTGGGGTGAAGTGATTGGGGTGAACTGACGTGTAAGTCCATTGCACTGACATAAGTCTAAAGTTAACATGGAAACTCAGACAAGATATAATGACCAGTCCTCGTTTCCTCAACTAGGCAAGGTAATAATAAGCATCAACCTTCATACTCTTTTGTTATGATGCGATCTGGGAGAGAACCGCCAGGTCATAGCCCCATACTTTCTTCTGTATGTGCTGAGAATGTCATGCACTTCGAACCCTTATGTTCTGGGAGTTCTATTCTGTTATACAATGTTTGGTTTAGGATATAGTGCACTATGACAAGTGATTGAAAACAAAAAGCGAAGTGCAGTGTACAATTTCTAGTTTCCTTTAAAAGCTCGAGTTTATTGATATATAGTTTTTAGTTCGACGCATTACATTTTAACAGATGATTGCATATTATCGAATCTCGAACAAATTCAGTCATTGATTATATTATTAACCTTTCACGGCTTCGGGTGGGGGTGGCAAACAATCAACCAGGTCAGACAGGTCCTGTATTCTCAGTGCATAAGAATGCATGTTACAACCAGCGTAGGTTGCGCGAAACCGAGACATGTTAGTCAACACAAACAGGATAAGCATTTGGATAGAGATTCTCAGAAACAGAGACATATTAATCATCACGAACAGGATAAGCATTTGGATAGAGATTCTCAGAAACAGAGACATATTAATCATCACAAACAGGATAAGCATTTGGGTAGAGATTCTCAGAAACAGAGACATATTAATCATCTCGAACAGGGAAAGCATTGAGATAGAGATTCCCCAAAACAGGGACATATTAATCATCACAAACAGGATAAGCATTTGGATAGAGATCCTCAGAAACAGGGACATATTAACCATCTCGAACAGGGAAAACGTTGGGTGTGAGAATGATGCATTTGACTGTGAACTGCCTTCCCCAAATATTACAGTTATCCGGGAAACTCTGAAGAAATATCTAAACATGTTGCAATAATCGGAGTTTACATTATGGCAGAATGCCATTTATTTAATAATTTACACCTTTCAATATAATTCATTGGATACATTTCATCGAGTTGGGTGACAAATATCAACAATGATGAAGTCGTTTCGAATGTCAAAATTTGAAGGGACCATTATCCATTCTATTCCGAGGTATAGTTGCCCTATAGGCGACAGTAAACATACAAAGGTTGATCTAGGGTTTCGTAAAGGGTGGAGAGAGGGAAAGGTCAACACTAAACGACAAACGCATGGATATGGACACCCAGAGTATTCTTCGTCTGAATCAACTCTGTATGTAATACTACTACATATGCTTCTAACACACACAAAGAAATAACATGTCATGCTAGGACACACATGGAACTTTACCAAATTGCTTTATATTTGCAGTATCATGTCCCATCTCTCAAACAGTTCTGCAAATATAAAAAAGTTGATGTTGAAGCACAGGCAAGGCAGTAATAAGGAAACACTGATACTTATGTTAGGAGCCTGTGTTTTGACGTCCAGGTCCATTGTGCTGGGAATTCCGTCTCTTTCTGGAATCAAATAGTTCACAGTGGAAAGTGCTAGGTAGAAGTGTAGCTATATCCCGGCGGCACGTTGTTCGAGGATTAGTCTGCCCAGTCAGTGAGACAAAGAATATGCATCGACCAGTGTCACTGGGGTACACTCTCAGCAAAACCCCCACAGCTGCTACCCCATCCATTTAATGAACCCTTTCTACAAGTTCTAGTAATTGTTGCAGACACTTTAAAGGAACAATCCTCTTAGATCTCAACGAAATAGTTTACTGTTCTCTACGTATGATACGAGTGACCCAAAATATGTACTGTGTAAACAACGGAGATTGTTTGCTTCCAAGAATGCGTCCTGTTTTGAAGAAAACCCCAAATTCAACTCCAACTCTTACGTTTGTATGTATTGCGTCTGTATGTATTTACTAGTATATGCTTTCATATAGGACGCAAGTGAGGACCATCACATTTCAGATCGTCATACATATCTTGTTTCACTGGTATCCATTACAGTATAAGGTGATGTGCAAGGTGATAAGAAAATAGATACAAAGGCGAAAATTGAGCTAAAGGCTTCAATCACCAACAATCCAGATATTCCAAGAGCAGGTTGTTCATTCTTGACTCTGAAACAGGTTATCCATCCAGTTATCTGGTGTTACGAACAACAATACCCAGCTTTGGGGTTCAGCGAACAACTGACCACGCGATTCATGAAGTCACCCCTGGACACAGCATAAGGGTTCTCTGGTTAGTGTGTAGTCTATATTGGCAATATATGACATGTATGTACTCATATGTACATCTGTACACAACGGGAACAATATGACCTATGTATATGACCCAGTAATGTGAACCAGGATGAATGACATTGTTTAAGATCATAAGGAAAGCATAACGCATTTCTAAGTCTACGTTAGACGATGGTGCGTTTCATCCCTAACTATACCCATACAGTCATTAAATCATGCCTCTCTCTAACCTCGTTTGAACTGCGACATACTGCTCCTTCACTTTTTCTTGGGATATAGAAGCACGCATTTACGGAGAGTGAATTTAATGAAATTCTGAAACAGAACATACAGCACATGATGATGGAATATAACAAGGGCGCTTATACTGCTGTGTCATCACTCTCTTGTGTCGTATCCTTCGGCTTTTTACAGAGGCATACAGTTCATTAATACATGTCTGATCATCTTGGGGACAATCTTTTGTACAATGACACCTATCTCCTTCTTAGGCATGCCTGCGGATGTTGCAGATAATTCGTCAGATTCATCACTTGGCGGCGAAGGAGATGTGTTTTCGGCGTTAGTGACGACGTCTCCGGCACAGGCATAGCCTCCTGCATCGATCACAAATACCTTCTTGGGATCCACCTGGACCCGATGCTGGTGGTATGGAGTTATTCACCTCCACGGTAGCATACACTGCACTGAGGGGTTCCCCACAGTTATGTACGGAGGAGAACAAGGCTTAACTGACGAGCGTGGTTTTATTCGATTTACCTTTCTTTGACGACAAAAACGACGATGATGATGACGACGACGACGATTAGAACGAGGCTGACAACTACTGAAGTAATGATGATTGGAATTGAAGCTGTGGCTACTTCATTTCACGTGCTTTCATTTCTGTAACATAGGGGAGTTTCGAGCTATAGTTAGATATATGCATTAAATTACATCCCAACGTAAGATGAAATGTGCATCTGCAGAGTGAGTGAGTGAGTGAGCAATCATTTAGCGTCACATCGGCAATGTTTCAGACAAATGATCAGATATACGATCTGATGATAGCTTTATAATCAGAGTATGGAATAAGAAGTGGTGTTACAGATTTGTTTATTGCTGCCTTAGCAGCAGGCACCTGGAGAAGGCTTATAATGGTTGTTAAATGCAATAGTACAATATGATCAATACGACGATTGCTACACACGTGAATGTTTACGAAGTATAAATAACTGCTACCCAGCCGCCACCCGACCGTAACCCGCCGCATATGCAGGAATTGGGACACGCAGCCGCCTTAAAGGCGTATAGTGGATCGAAAGAAGACAGGATATTGTGATAACGGCACAGTAATAAAACATGCAGTTGTTTTGTAAATGGATAACTTCTGATATTAAATTTGAAACTAAATTGTTTTGATTACAGTCACGACCTGAAAATACACTTGAGAACTAATATACACATCCGCACTGAAACAGACAGCGATGTTCCCAGTGTTGAGGGATATGTTGAGTCGGATTTCTGTGTTACTCAGTGAATACATTTACAATACGAGGGGGCTATCAAACAGTTTTGAGCCTAAAATGCTTTTTGATATGTGAATGATAAAATAACCGTATGGTATTGAAGAATGGTTTATATCTTCACATACACGTGATATTGACATGCGCATGTGAATGATATATACTATTCTTCAATACCATGCAGTCATGTTTATCATACACAATGGGCACGATGAGTGAAGCCCATCTCTCCGTCATCCGCAATGATATGGCCGGGATATTGCTACATGCGGAGTAAAGCCAAACACTCACTCACTCACTCACTCACTCACTCACTCACTCACTCACTCACTCACCACCCACTCACAATATGCCAATATGACTCAATACACCTGCACAATAGTGTATATGGGAACGACGAACTATAAATGGACTATGTAATTATTTTAGGGTTTTACCAATATCTTGATCGATGTACCATTGGCGTATGGAATGACATTTTCAGAAGGGGTTGTTGTATCGATAGTTACAGTTGATATTCATGAGTGGCAATTTGGCACTTCGATTCAGGATATTATGTAAGGGTACACTTCAGATGGAACACATTTAACACATTCAGAACAAACCAAATAGCGAACTGTTATCAGCAGATGACAGGATCTCAGGACATATAACCATTATTGTGTCTTGAAGGAGGCATAGTTATACACATCATATGTTTGTGGTTTTAGGATATCTCACTCAAGAACGACAAATGACTCACTGTTATTGAGCTCTGTTACACCATCGCAGCTGAGATTCCAGTGTTTGTCTTGACAGTTGAATACCAGCCTTACACCACCCAGGTGTGTTTTGGTCACATTAAAGGTTACTGATTGAAGACCTTGATCACCAACATTTAGAAGTTGTTTGACATCCCCGGTCTGCAGTGTAAAGTTTGATTCTGCAGAACAGTAGGAGCCTCGTACATCGTAATACGCAGTAATGTTTACGGTCAGTGTCACTTCCTCCTGTAGGGTAAGCGTCTCTGTGTCCTTGTCACTGGTGATGTCGCATGTTGGTGGACTTAAAAGTGCTGTTAAAACAAAGGACTTCATGGAGAGACGAAAACAGCATTATTGAAGATATATTGTTGCGAGGATGTTGTTTGGAGGATATAAATATCGCAGCACCTCCTGGGTGATAACAGCCATGACTAAGCCAATTTATGAAAAGAAAGCATAGATATGAACTGCTTATAGCATCAACAAAATACTATTTATGACGTTCACACGTTATATCATCCTATCTAGGTCTCATCGTCTCGGTTAAGTATAACCACTGAAGCCTTCTGGTTGACGAGGCATGTGGAAATTGTCCTGCCATTTTCTGAACCATATGTTTGTCATTCAATGTGTAATAAAACAAATGTAGTATTTTACTTCTATCAACACCAACGGTAAATGCTTGCTTCATAGGGATACCGAAACACTAACCGAGTTTATTCACACCGCCACACGAAAGACCCCGCTGACTGTTGTGGCATCTAAACACCAGCCCTACTGTACCCAGATGGGAGTCCGTCACATTTAGTGTTACTGATGAAGTGTTGTCAGAGACACTTGGTACAGAGTCAGCTTCCATCAGCAGGGGTTGTCACATCCCCGGTCTGGAGGGAGACGCTGTGGGTGGTGGAGCAGTAGTAGTCTCGCACGTCCACTGTAAGTGCCAGTTCCTGATACTGGACAAGTACATCAGTGTCATCTGAACTTGTGATGTTGCACGTTGGTGTCTCTGCAACATTAAATATAGCCTTAGACTGTTAAAATAATACGTAAAAGCCAAGCATTATCATATAATTCAAATAGAATTTAGACTACTGACATTTGGTGGTATATACAGCGAACACTGTCTGTCCGCTTTCAGAGCAAATATGATGAGAAATGTGTCATCTGCAACTCCCCTGTAACGTCGTGCGGGAAAGAATTGGTCCATAGGTTCAATGTTTCGTAGCCTGATAAAACACTTGCATCCTCTTATACCAGAAAAATACAATATACTTATCTCCAATAGGTATTTGGCAAAAACATTTAACTCTGTCAGGGAGTGAGTTTTAGATATTTGTGATTTGTCTTCTTTGCATCTGAATTATAACTCGAACTAGCAGAATCAAAAGAAGTGAATAAGTGAGTGAGTTTAGTTTTGCGACGCTTTTGGCAATATTCCAACAATATCAAGTTTGAGGACACCAGAAATTGGCTTCACACATTGTAACCATGTGGGGATTCGAATCCGGGTCTTCGGCGTGACGAGGGCGAGCGCTTTAAAGTACAAGGATACCCCACCGCCCCGAATCATAAGAAGGAAATTTAAGCCAGAACGCCGGTCTTATTCCCAAGGTTGGCAATGTTTCGGCCGAGTGTAAATATTGAGTGAGTGAGTGAGTTAAGAGTTTAAGTCACACCGTGCGTAAATATCTGGCGCGAATCAAACCAGCGATTGACGGCATCAGCCACTGTCTATGCAGTTTGGAAAGAATGACATGCAGTAAGTCTGAGCACACCATCTCGTTTTTCACTTCCTTCAACAAGCACGCTGAAGATTAAACCTGATCCCGTATTTTATGGTGCTGGCCATCTAGATAACATTCCGCAGTTGAACTTGCATACCCCTCTCAAACACAATCTACTGTCTCCGAGCCGACCAGTCCTTGTATAAACATGTTACACCGAGCGCCGATCAGGGTTACAAGTACCGCATTTTGATATCTTTTTGAATTAGTGGGTTGAATGAGTATGGTTTTACGGCGTTTTAGGAATATTGCAGCAATATCACGGCTGGAGACACCAGAAATGGGCTTCATACATTGTACCCATGTGAGGAATCGAACCTGGTCTTCGGCGTAACGTTGTCCTCCTGAGAGGGTACTTAAGTTCCAAAACAATTAAAGTGAATTTAAACATACTACTATTTTTAACCGTAGTATATGTTATTTTAATTTATGGCTAGATCAAAATGATGGTGTAGTGTAAATCCAGCTAGGGTCCATGCAGGAAGCAAATGTACTGTAAGTCCCCATGGTCCTAGTATGGTGATGTACCTTCAGATGTTGGCAATCTATAGCCTGTTCTTATATTGTGTTGTCATGTATAGATAAGATGATTTAGATTTAATTACTAATTTATATCTGTGATAATCTAATTGTTTTACTGTCCTTCGTGGACAGGTTTGTATAATTTACCTTCAATTATTATTAATCTATAACTTGATTTAGTCACGATATGGCTGAAAATATTGCCAAAGTGACTTTAACTTTTAACTCACTCACTTCGGCGTAACGAGCCAACGCTTTAACCAATACGCTATCCCACCGCCCCTTTAGTTAGGGCACACCTCGGTATCTAACCTCACAGCTTCCGCTCGACGAACAGACGCTATATATGTGCACTAGGTCACAGAGGCGGTCTTTTCAGTGATATCGCCAGGAGAATGTCTGAATATAACCAATGTAATGTGCATGTAGTATATATTGCCGTTTACTCGGTTAAAAACAACAACTTTAGTTCTATAGTAGTGCATACAATATTATTATTTCTAATCACTCATGGTCTATAATACAATATTCGTTTCTTAATGTAGCCTTTTTCTAACAGCCCCAGGGACCCCAACATGTGACATCGCCAGTGACAAGGACACAGAGACCCTTTCCCTGTATGAGGAAGTATGGAATCTGAGAAGGGACAAAAACATGCAAAATGAGGCAAAAACTAACCAAAGAGCGACAATGCGACAACGCAACATTTCGCCCATTTGTCGCATTGTCGTGATGTCGCATGTGCGACATAGCGACACTTTTCAAGGTCAAAATATGTCGCGTTGTCGCATTGTCGCCCTATCTAAGATGTGTAAAAAGAGCCTAAAAATTGACTAAAAAACGCGACAATGTCACTTCCAGGATTCCATAAGGAAGTGACGCTGACCGTGGACATTCCAGTCCACTACGAAATTCGAGGCCTCTCTGTTCTGTAGATTCAAACTTCACACCTCAGACTCGGATGTCACACAATTACTGAACGTTAGCGATCTCGGTCTCAGTAACCTTTAAACCTTTAAAGTGACCGAAACACAAACTTTACAGTGGTGTAAGGCTGGTATTCAACTGCTAAGACAAGCACTGGAATCTCACTGTTATTGAGTTCGGTTACACCATCACAGGTAAGTCATTTACCCTTCTTTAATGTGTGATACTAAAACCACAAACATATGTGTATATCTATAACCCTTGCAAAACACAGTAATGGTTTCGGACTGAACACACTTTACTGTTTGGTTTGTTAAGGGTAAATGTATTCCATCTGAAGTGTACTTCCTTACATTATGCCTTGAATCTGCACTGAATGTACCATGCTTGAATAATCGACTGGAACTATCGATACAACCCCTACTGAATGTCATCAATACGCCAGTGACACATCGATCAAGACATCTGTAAAGCTAGATACCATAAACTAGATACATAGTCCATATCTATTTCGCTGTTTCCATAAACACTATTGTTCAAGTGTATTGACATGTTGTGAATGTATTCATTGTGTACGAGTAGCACAGATATCCGACTCAACGTATCCGCTCAATATTAGGGGAACAACGCTGTCGTTTTCACTGCGCATGCGTGTGTCAGTTCTAAAATGTATTTTCAGGACGTAACTGCAGACTCTGCATATTTTAATACTTTGCTGTCATCACAATCTCTTTGTCTTCCTTCGATCCACTATACGCCTATAACACGGTTGTGTGTCCCAATTGTTTCATATGACGGTCCTGGTTGCAGCTGAATAAACAGTTATTTATACCTCGTACGCATTCCAGTGTATTGCAATCGTGGGATTGATAATAATTTATTGTGGCTTTTAACAGTCATAGATTCGTGATATAAGCCTTCTCAAGTGCACATTTCATGTTACTTTGGGGTCTAATTTAAGGCATATATATAAACTATTACTTAAAACGCCCTGAGCCACAGCCTCAACTCAATCATTATTGCTGCTGTAGTTGTCAGCCCTCGTTCTTATCGTCGTCGTCGCCATCATCATCGTTTTGTTGTCACAAGAAAGGTAAATCGAATAAAACAACGCCTTGTTCTCTCTCCGTACATAACTGTGGGGGAACCCGGAAGTGCTGATTATGCTTCCGTGGAGGCCACCATCGGGTTCTGGTGGATCCCACAAGGTAGTTGTAATGGAGGCTATGCCTTTGGTGGAGATGTCGTCACTAACGCTGAAAACATATCACGTTCGTCGCGAAGGGATGGATCTTACGAATTATCTAACGCTGTAACATTCGCATTCAATGGCATTCCCAAGGGGAACAATCATGTTTACTAAAGGAAAAAGTAAGTATGCATAACATAGTTATAAAAAATAGCCTTATATAAACACGTAGCAAAGTACTTTGCATGAAATTTGATGTCACGTATCGCGCGTGGCACGTGCACTTTGTGCACAGTGAACTTACTCACTTTTGCATGCTTCTTGGCAAATGAAGTTCACGCACCTGATATTAAAACTTGGACAGCTCAGATGGCAGGGCAAGGGTGTACAGACCGCGAGGTGAACGGTATGCTCGCGCTTACGTTGTTTAACGTCGACAGGTTGGTAACACCAGCGTTATGGCATGGGGGGAACATCACATCTCGTGCCAATCTGGCAATCTAACAGGTCTGCGATACAGGGTGAGATCATTGGGCCTCATTCAAGACGTAACTCGCGCTTACGTTGTTTAACGTCGACAGTTTGGTATGTTGACAGTTTAGGATACAAAGTAACATTGTAATATGATCACTGGAATGGGTTTTCTGTTACAAAGTGAAGACCAATGGAGGTCCTAGTTTGGACTAGGTGCACAGAACCCTATTTTGTAATCAAGGGGCGACTTCTTGAATCGAGTGGATAGGCCTGTCACCGTACCCGAATCTGGGGATTTATTAACATACGATCGGTTAACTGATTCATAACCTGTTTCAGTGTCAATACAATAAGCTTCGCTGTTGATGAACACTTTCTAATGTGAACGATTTCATTCCAGATAAACAGGAATTCGTCAAAACAATACCAAACGCTCGCTTCTAACATAAGAAATTATTGTTACCGTCTAACTGCCTTGCATCTGCTTCAAAAGCTATTTTTCTTATATTTGCAGAACTGTTTGAGAGATACGATATGATATTACAAATGTACAGCAATTTGGTAATGTTCCGCGGGAGCGTGTATGTGTGTGTGTGTGTGTGTTAGCATTATATGTTATTTCTTTCTGTGTTCTAGAGGTATATATAGGCGTATTACACATAGGAGTATATGTACCGAGTTGAATCCGACGAAGGGTACAATGGGTGTCCATATGCAAAACTATTCAATGTACCATGCGTTTGTGGTTTAATGTTCGCGTTTCCCCTCTCTCCACCCTTTACGAAACAATGGATCAACCTCTGTACGTTTACTGTCGTCCACAAGGCAAGTATACCACGGAAAAGATAGGATCATGGTCCTTTTAAATTTGGAGCTTCAAAACGGCACAATCATTTTCTTAAATTTGTCGTCCAATACGACCAGATGTATCCGCTGAAAGTGCAAATTACTAAAGCACTGGCATGATGACATAGTCCGAAAAACGAAATTGTAGTATTTGTTTTACATGATACATAAATAACCTCTCATTAATGCAACATCTTTAGTATTTTCTCGGATAACAGGTGTAGTTTTGAACGACAACTTACGGTCAAATATATAGTTGTTTACTCTCATCTGATGATTTCCTGTACAAGATTGTGAATATGTGCATATGAGATAACATGTCATCAAAAGTAATGAATTCAAGTTATTTATTACCATCAAAGTAATTTCTCAATCAGCATATTCTTCGAACAGAATATTGAGCTTTAAAAGAAGGAATGATAAAAGCCATCAAATTAATTTCGATTTTCCATCTCATTGCTGTAGTGTATATTTCAATAATGGAATTTTACGTAATGCGTGGTTTAATTTCTTGAAGTCCATGGTCATCGCCGTGATATATTGTTAAAAGTGGCGTAAAACGGACTCACCAACCACTGACCTTTGTGATACCTAAAAATGTTATGGTGTGAATAGGAGTTACACTCTTCGGGTTCGACAAGCGTTTAACAACCTTTCCGAGTCATGATGTACGTGACAGTCACATTTTGAAATACAAACAATCTATTTCCTTCACTGTGTTGACAAACAGTATTAAGTAGCAGCCATGCTCACCTCAAAACACAATATTTGACATTTGGACGTATATCAAAAGATACGACATTTACACAAAGGAAGACGGATGATGGCCATTGGAATGTTTCACTAGAGTATCCTTATATACACACATAGACCTCGAATGATAATTGACACCATCAATGACATAAACGATACCGAAAGCAGTCGACATGAGTCGCCCAGTTGATTAATGTACCATACATCGTGTACAGAGTTGCACCTTGTAGACATTCCTTTCTTCGTGGTTCAAGTCCTTGGTTTGTCAGAACTTTAGTCATAGCATTTTTTATTCCTCAAATTACTGCATCACCTCGCCTTTTGTGCAATATCACTGTCCAGGGTGTGGCATGTATTTATAATTTGCATCACAATTTCCGCGTGTTTGAACGGAACCGTGTCCCAATAGAAGCTTGGATTTCAGCAGCAATTTTGCATAAAAGTCATCTACTTACTCATTACTGCCAAGTCACATATCTCCGGATTCGAGTCTTTAGGCCTGCAAGTCCATCTTCCAGCATCGGATTGGGTGACACGGCAGATAGTGAATAGACTGTGTGTAACATTGAGAAACGATGCATTGTAGTTATCGTCAAGGGTTATACACAGTTTTCCAGGATCCACGCACGTGACAACCGGATCTGAGTTGGTGATAAGTAAGTATGGGTTTTTAAGACGTTGCTTCGAGTGAAACATGTCAACTGTGTAGCTGTATTGAGTTCGGAGACTGACGGGCAGAAAAGTTCACTTACACCTGTAAGGAAAGCAAAGATAAACCGGAAAATAAACTATGCATTTACACACATAGAATGTGAAACAGTTGAAAACAAACTACCACACCATAAGGTAGAATTTACGCAAAGTTTGACTTGTATATATAAAATTTGTCTTCTCAAAACCGCATTTACCTAATACAACAAAAGGGCCTCTAGCATATTTGAATAGGGCAAAACTAATAATGATTGTCCTTACACAGTATGCGTGCCCTAACATTCGTATCACGAGAAGTCTCATTTACATGAAAATGTACTTTCATACCGATGTATAGTTGTAGGGACATGAGCAGAATGCGGATAAGTCCTCCAAACATCATTCTCCCTGCACCAGATCCTGCGAAATGACATAACTGTTTAGCCACCAAGGAGTATGTCTGAAGGCATCATACACACCCAGTAGGATCTAGAATACACAAAAACGAATATGGTACGCATGTGATTTAACTGTTAAATAACGCATCTTCTGTGATACTTTTGACATACCACAACACAGAAAAAAGCAGCAGATGTACGTGCTTTACAATAGAGTTTAAGCAGTGTACCTTTTATGCGAATGCAAAATCATCATTGAAATCCTCCTTCTTTGTATTGCTCACATCACCTGGACTGAAATGTATCAGAACTGAGTGTTTATGCCAGTCAGATTGTAAGTTCCCTGAAGTGTATAAACAGCCATCCTGGATAAACTCATTGTTCAGTGAATAACGAAGCTTACAACAGATATTTTGTAAATGATATGCTTTAAGTAGATAAAATCAAATGGCGGAACGTTTTTGACTTTTTTCGAGAAAATCAAATCAAATCAAATCAAATGTTTATTGTATGAAGGCCATAGGCCCATATACATGAAGTGTACATGGTACAGTATAGGATCTATTAAACAAAAGATTCACATTTAATTTCTACTCTTGAATGCATATTTGAAATAGAACATTACAGATTTTAAGTCTTGATAGTTTGTGGTTGCCATGAGGCGAACAAATTGTTGTACTGAAGGCGATTTAAATATTTGGTATGTATTTCTTTCGAATGTTCTTTAAGGATCGACATATAAAGGTGAAATGGTACAGATCTTCGACGTTGTTTAAATTACAATATGTACATACCCTTTCAGACTTTGCAATTTTATTATGTCTCCCGGTATCAATATTTAACCGTGTACATCCAACTCGAGCACGAGCAAAGTCGGTTGCAAATGTACACAAGGTCGAATCTATTACATATTTCTCTGCTTCAAGGCTAATCTTAAAACTTGCATAACATTCATATCTAGTGCTAGATGTTATTATATTTGTCCATTCTTGGGAGTACATATCTTTTAATCTGGTTTGGAAAATGCTGAGAAAAGTAGTTATACATCCAACGTCTTGATAGACCCAAGCAATGGGTAACGACCACATTCCTAAGAGCCATCACATTAGGAGTGTTAATGCCAGTACCAAGATAGTATTTACATGCGAGAAACTGGACCCTCTCTACCACCTCTAGTCTTTGATGTCCCCATATTTCGCATCCGTAAAGAAGGATGGGTTTAATTTTTGAATCAAATATTTTGAAAAATGTTCCGAGTGGGACTTTTCCATATGTCCAAACACATTTTAAAATATTGATTAGTGCTCATTTTCCGTTTAACGCCAAATGGGATACTTCCCTTGTTAAATTTAATGATGGAGTCATCTGTAGCCCAAGGTACTTATATTCTGGAACAACTTCTACAATTTCATTGCGATAATACCATTTTTCACATTTTTTAAGATTTCCACCCTTTCGAAAAATAATGATTTTTGTTTTTGAAAGGTTGACATTTAACTTCCATGTTGAACAGTAGTCATCGAGAATATTCAGTTGCTCTTGTAGCCCACTAACTCTATCAGACATGAAAATAACATCATCGGCAAACATCAGTAGAAACAGTTCATGTAAATCAGGGTATAATTGTACTCCCCTACGACAAGTATCAAGAATATCGGCAGCCAACTCATTAATAAAAAGAGTAAAAAGAATTGGGCTTAATACACAGCCCTGTTTTAGTCCGATAGGACAATCAAAACACTCAGTAAAACCAGCGTTACACCGTACGCATGCTGTTACAGACGAATACATAGACTGGATCATAGTCAACATTTTAACAAGTAAACCACATTTTTGGAGGACATACATAAGTTTATTTCTATCTATAGAGTCAAATCCTTTTTTAAACTCTACAAAGGCAACATAGAATCGACCCCTACGTTTACTTAAATATTTCTGTATACAAGCTGTTAGTGTGAACAAGTTGTCCGTTGTTGCGTATCCAGGCCTAAAGCCTGCTTGTTCTTCGCATATCTTATTATTATTTTCTGCCCATGTTTTTAATCTGCGCTTAATTATAGTTGCAAATATCTTTCCGTATATACTAATTAAAGTTTTACCCCTGTAGTTATTAGGATCATCTCTAGGGCCATTTTGTAGATAGGTACTATGATACCGTTGCTCTCAGGAGGAGGGAAATTCGCCTGTGGAATATATTCTATTAAATAAAACTTGCACGAAAGGCATAGTTAGGTCACATGATGATTTGAACATTTCCGGTAATAACATATCTAAACCTGATGATTTCCCACCCTTTAATAATTTTATACCACTCAGTATCTCTTGTTCTGTAATCGTTGACTCCAGCTCATGATACATTTTTGTTTCATTGTCTGCATCATCAACACTAATTGAGTGTAAAAAACTCATCTTTGTTCAAGGATGGAACTTGAAAACAGATCTTTTAAAATATTCGTACCAAACATCCGTACTAATATATATAGGCAAGGTTTACTGCAACTCATGTTTTTAACTTGCTTCCAAAACGATTTAATGTTATGAAGCGACCTCTCTAGGATATTCAACTGTTCTTTTTTAAAATGAAGTAAGCTTACGTCTAGTGGTTGAAATATATCTATTACGAAGCTGTCGCAATGACACAAAGAAGCTGGACCCTTGCAGCTTCTGTACCGTCTACGTCCTCGCCTGGCCTCTAGCTTACTATAGTGACATTCGGTATCATACCATTTGCCTATGAAATGTCTCTTAATTGCCCTAGCATTCCGCTTAAATATAGAGGCAGCATGTAACAAGGCACGTAAAAAAAATAGCAACAGAAGTATGAATACTACTGTATAACAAGTCCGTGGCACGGCTCAGCTCTTGCTTACAACAATCCGTAAGCAATCCATTACGGAACTCCTCGCACTGGCACTCGTCCCATACATTAAAGCAATAGCGAATATCCAGTGACGAGGGTTCTTAATAGCGTCGTCTCGAATCTCTTACACCATCTGGAATCCATTTACAACTTCCAACATGTTTTAGTTCAGCTATATATATGCACACACTATATATACATATAGATATGAAACGTGAACACAAGAGAACTTGTGGGAGTTATCATGATTCGGCTTACAGGGACACGAACCCAAAGCTAATGATATAAACCATTAAGAAGGCCTACAACTAATAATGATTATGAATGTGACAGAATGGCTTCAAATGTTGTGAGCAAGACAGACACACACCTACCTGCCATGGGCATGTTCAGCATTCATTTAAGGCAGTTCAGGTCACCAGGAAGCAATTGCACAGCAACGATAACCGCCAACAGAATCACTTCCGCTTGTCAATATATTTAATAAGTAATGTCTACGGATTGCAGGTGAACGTCGTACTATAACCAAAAGTGTGATACATCTTGTTTAATGAATAGTGTAGCTCTTTTCCAGTAAGTGAAAACAGTAGGTACTATGAATGAAGGATTAGAATAACGTTTCAGTTTTACATAACTGGTTTGTCAAATTTAAATATATTGTTTGCTACTCGTATTCCCATATACGAGTTCAAATATTTGATAAATAGATTTGTGTTCTTTATGCAGATATATTTAGACATGTTTGTGCAGTTACGTCATTGCTGTAATAAATACACAATAAAATCGTATGCGTCATTGCTGAGAGAATGAATAGATATACCACCTATATAGTAATATATTGTCGACTTGTTAGTTTCGTTAAAAACATGATTAATAGCTTTAGTTGATCATGGCGTGACACGTATGGTAATATTATTGTCTCAGTTGGAAAGAGAAGATATTACGGATGTATGGACAGCTATTTTAAACAGCGAGTGGTAAAGGGAGATAATTTAATGTTTTCTACGCCTTTTTCTGCAGCCTTTCATACCGCAAAGGATGTGTTTAAAGCCAACTGGAAAATGTTTCACATGAACATCAACACGACAAAAACAGCAACAGTCACTTGAACAAGAGTGACTTTCGAATCTACAGTAACAAAGAGACCCGCTTCACGCATCCTGTAAACTTGTCAGAAATATATATAAATACTTATTGCATATTTAACGGGACCGTTAATATGTTTCAAGATATAACTTCAATACTTGCACACTTTTATTTATCTTTTGTTGTCCCTTTTCTACTATATATGACAAATTACTCTTCTCAAATGATATTGATGAGCGGAATAAATCATCTTCTTGTCTTACAGTTTTACTTGATTTCTTTTGTCTTACATTTTACTATTTGAATTCTTTCTTTAACCATACATTTCCAAAAGGACACAGTAGATACACTGCGTGTTCCCTTCAAACTGTACACTATAGAGAAACTTACACAGCCTTTCGTCAACAAGGTCTAAAGTACATACCACTGTTATTGCGTCGCCTTTTCCGTGTTCCCATTTCTGTAGTTATGTGCACAACCTTCTGCTGCATGTATTTATGCCCTGTTACCGGGGTCACTAACTGCCAGTCACATGCTCTTTAGAAAGTTTTTAAAGGTGAAAATAGCGAAATACACACATGAATTCAAACAACAGATTTCACCACAATAAAACAACCTTGCAAAGTCTGACCGATGATAGGGAGGATATATTGCGTTAACTACAGCACCCAAACCAGACTGGTTTTCAATTCAATCACAACACCATATAATACTTTGATTGTAGCACAGCATTCAGTATAAGTCATGTCACATTTACGTCTCTTTTATCAGTCCGATTTCTCCGTTTATGTAATGTTTATGTAATCCACCACCTTTTCCGTATTACGCCTTACTCATTCGTTTACGTTTTTACAGCGCCTTTTACTGAATTGCGTCGTATTGTACAAAGTATTTCGTATAGGTCTTAAGACATACTCACATACAAAACACACTAACACACACACACATTCACATACACACACACACACATTCACACACGTACTCATTCTGTCTGTTCCTAACTCCTTTATCCCTAAAATAAAATCGCGCACGCACGCACGTACGCACACACACTCTCTCTCTCACTCACTCTCTATCATGCATAATTGTTCCCAATAGGTAACATTCCTTTTAAGTAAATATTTGTTTCTGGGTTTGCTTTTTCCAGGTTTTCAAAATACTAACTAACCGACCATGTGCACAGTTTTAGACTTGCCAAAGGGCAAATTGATAGCAGCATCCAAGAGCAGAATCTCTTATTATGTTGTTCAGACCGAGTTGAGCTAACAGATCTGAGGCGCAAACCATCACATGTATTTAAGGATGTGCTCGTCATCGTCTCTCATCTAAACACATGTACCACGTGAACAAACGGTGACACAGAAGCTGAAGATGTCATCTCATTCACATTGATGCCCGTAAAACACCATTGACCTCAATAACTAAATCAAAATAAATTATGAAATTTCGTCGAGATAGAGTAACTGAGCAACCCCGTGCCATCTTTATCAGATATTATGATGTCTGGAGCAGTTGGGTTATGATAGTCAGTCACAAATCTTTTGTCGTTTAGTTTTTTAGGTAAGCATCTTTCCCATCTTGCACTTCTTTACATCTACAGTATATGATATTAAATACTATAAGTATATATAAGTCTTAAAATATAAGTTGTTGCAGCTTAACCATAAACTACTACACTTGGAAATACCTTCAAGTTTAGAAACGATTATTGAATTTAACAACTTTAAGTAACCTGACAGTAAAAACAATCAGAATATCACAGAAATGCAATTTAAAACTATTGTCCATAATCTCTAAACTTTATTTGAACACAACAGTACAATATAAAAACAGGCTGGACATATATTGGACGATTACAGGAGGAAAAAGGGATGAAATTCTAATCAAATGTAACTTACATACCGTGTCATGGAGATAATCATTCTACGCCAATTTAAACCCCTTTTCAGGTACATTCACTAACAATCAAAGTTATGTATGTATTCTCACAACTGAAGATTAACTTACCAATACCAATACATATTTACGTTATCAATTAAATCAATGTCTTTAAAATCTAAGGATCAAATGCAAGGACATCTGAGGGATCATGTTCTGAAATATTGCTCCCTTGTACATGTTTGACCGATGCCCACTTGCAACTGCCGTCAGTGTTAACATCCTGCCCTGATTATGTCACTACTACAAGGGCGTCTTCAGACCGTAGTGAATGTAAATTCATTCGTGTTGTAACAGAACTTGATCCTCGGACAGCGGGTAAACAGGTGGACTGACTTTGCCCGCCTGACCGTTGCTGCAACATCATGTCATTGCATATTTAGACGTCCAATAAAGTGATGTGGACCCACTGATGGACTTCTGTGTTTGAAGATACATTCCCAAACCATAACCAACCCGAGACAATAAAAAATGATATTATCTGAAACGTCATCGCTTTCTAAATTGTAATTCTGCTTTTATTGTTATCAATTACAAACTCAATAAAGAAATCCTCGGACAACTCGAGCAATTCTTTGAGAAGTGCACTTACTGTCCTATCCATTTAAACTGATAACAATCTGTATTTCATTGGTCCTGTGCCTTTGCTGTATATTGATGTAAACAACGAAATAAGAACTGGCGAACATCGCGAACTCATTCTTATTGTCCAATCCACGCTTGTAAGAGGCTACTAACGGGATCGGTGGTCAGGCTTCGCTGACGCGGTTGATACATGTCATCGTATTCCAATTGCATAGATTGATGCTAATGCTGTTGATCACTAGATTGTCTAGTCCAGACTCTATTAGTTACAGACCACCGCCATATAGCTGGAATATAGCTGGATGCTGCGTTAAACAACTACCAAACCAAACCAGTCTATTGTCCCATGTGGTTTCTGTCAAGAACATTGTTTATGTTTATGACGAACTTTTATATCTCCTCAAATATAACTAATCAGCGAAAACAAAACTTCTGCGACCATGTTCATTGTTCTAAACGGTAATACATTGACGGCAACTGGAGTAAGTCCCTGTCCTCATCTACACCCTCAATAAAGCAGTGATTAGCCTTTGAGTTTTCGGTCAAAAATTAGAAAAATCCATTATTCAGTTGGTAAACTTACGATTGGAGACCCACTACGTAGG